GAGTCCAGAGAAAGGAACTCTTCCTTGAACCCACAGCAACACTTTCAGATTTCTGGTGGTTAAAGATTAAGAGTCTCAAACTTTTCTGCCTAGACTGGCTTTGAACTGTGATCCTGGGATCTCAGAGGCCTGAGCAGCTAGGATTATAGAGGGGAACTATTAGTATTCGTTTTTTCCCTTGTTTTTCCCACCCCCCTCCCCCCCCACACAATAACATGCTTTTACTCTTCTACTTCCTCTTCTTCCATTTAATCAACTTCCTGAAGTTTTGCTTTTGCTAACTGCTTCTAGTACAATTCTTAAACTTTCAGGGTCAATAGAAACTTTCCCAAATCCAAGGAATACTCAAATCTTAGCTGCCTTTAAAAAAGTCATCATTTCCTCCTCAAAATTCTATTATTTTCTTTGATATAACTCTGGTGTTCTCCTGTGTCTTGAATCATATTCTGGTCAGTACCTGTGGGTGGATCATTGTGGCTCATAAGACAATAGGTGTTAAGTGAGTAATGTTCACAGTTTCTGTGGAAGAGCAAAGTTGAATGGCATTTTATGGACAGAGTCCTGTATTCAATAAGGGTTGCATTCTTTTGCAGTTCCATCCATATAAAGAAATTGATTTTTCTTTCTTTCTTTCTTATTTTTTTTTTGGGTCCAGTTGTGGGGCCTGAACTCTGGGCCTGGGCGCTGTCCCTCAGCTCTTCAGCTCAAGGCTAGTGCTCTACCACTTGAGCCACAGCGCCAGTTCAGGCTTTTTTTTCTCCTGCTTATGTGGTGCTGAGGAATTGAACCCAGGGCCTCGTGCATGCAAGGCAAGTGCTCTACCACTGAGCCACTTTCCCAGCCCCAGAAATTGATTTTTCTTACTAAAAAATAAATTTACACTGTGTGCACACACATGCAGGAATTCAGGAAAGGGCTCCTAACTTAGGGTCACAGGACAGTCTAAGAATCCTGCAGAAAATAGATACTTTTCATCCACAAAATGTGTGTGTGTGTGAGCTCATACAAGCAGAGATTTGCAAACAGATCTGAGATGATGTCTTAGATTAAGACTGGACAGAAGGAATGGTTCAGAGAACTCAAGTGAGGATATGGGAGGGGAAGCTGGAATTTGGGTAAGATTAAAGAGTAACAAGACTTTCTGCTGAAAATGAACTTATCAGTCTCGTACTTTGAACAAGTCCACAAATACACATTGAACTTTAAAACAGTCTGCAGAAACCTAGTAATGTCCTAGGATCAAAAGTCTCCATGGGACACAAACAGGTTTCAATATGGTTCAGATTCATTTCCCTTAGCCATACTTTCTTAGTACTTTAGTGGCAGAGAACATACCCAAAGACAGGAAAGCAAATGGAGCACTGCATGATCTTCATTTATATATTCCTCATAATTCAAATGATACAATCTAAACAATTCTTTGTAGCCTTCTTTTTTACCCACATTCTGTCATCTTCTAGTTTAAGAAGTTCTTTAAATATTGCTTTATATGATTAAGTAGAATGGCTAGATCAGATTTTATTGTTCAAGACTAGACAGAATTAGGCAGAACACTTTGCATCACTGTCAAAAAAAAAGTCTGTGTGTGTGTGTTAAAAGAAACTATTATCATTTAAAAGGAAAAATTAGACCTTTTGACTTATTATTCTTCAAAATGCTCTTGATTAGATAAGCCTAGATAAAAATACATAGAGCTAAAAAAAAAATACATAGAGCTGGTCTATGCATCTTGTTTCCAAGAAGTACCAGCTCTACTTCACTGTTTGCACAAATTACAGGCTTGACATTATTTATGTCTTTGAATTTAAATATTTAGAAGTTCAGAGCATATTAAGAGATTCAGGGCACTCAAGAATCATAAAGAAGAATATCTGTGTAACACATCACAAGCACAGCACAGAGAAACTCAAGAAAAACTGATGACTGATAGGGGGATGAAATAAGTTGTGCCCAGGGGAGAGAAGATAAAGAAGATGAAATACTGTCAAAAGAGACTATTTGAAACTATGAAAATAGAACAAGGAAACCCACTATGTTTTAGAAGGGAGGTTCTGTGATAGAGAGGTTGAAACATTGACCTACAGTGTAAATGTGTGGAAATTTAACAATGAAAACCCTGACAACTGATATAAACCAGTAAAAAAAATTTTAAAAAAAAATTATCTTAATGGCACTTAAAAAAAAGTTGCCCAGATACAAAAATACTAACTGAAATGGTACAATGTGTTCACAATAAATATAGTATTATAAAATGATTTCTAGGCCCCATCAATGGACTAGGTCATATTTTAAATTATCATTCAAAAACTCCTGAAGCACATGCCCTCATAGTAAATCAGCAATATTGGTTATATATTAACATATTAAACAAATGGCACTAAGTTTCAAAGGTAACATTTAAAGCACTGAACGATCTGAAATTCTAGTAAGTAGGGGTATCCTTGAAGTAGCATGTAAAGGAATTTTATAGGAGGTATTAACTCACAAACATTTTCCATCTGTGGTTGTTCCTTCTAATAATTTTTTTTGTTGTTGTTGGTCATGGGGCTTGAGCTCTGGGCCTGGGTGCTGTCCTTCAGCTCTTCAGCTCAAGGCGAGCGCTCTACCGCTTGAACCACTGTGCCACTTTCCTTCTAATGATTTTTAATAATGTTAAGTTTTTTAAAGACTGACTCATTTGAATACAAAAATGAAGAGGATCAGGATTTCACTTGCTTCAGTCTAAGCTGGTGGCTCACATTTGTAATCTTAGCTGTTAGGGAGACTGAGATGTGAGAGGTGCATTTCCAAGCAGGGGGGAGAGGGGAGAAAAAAAAGCCAGAAGTGGAGGCATGGCCCAAGTGGTAAAGCACCAGTGTTGAGTAATAAAGGTAAGGGACAGTGCTTAGGCTCAGAGTTCAGCTCCAGTACCACCATCCATCCAACCCCCCCCCCCAATTTCACTTGCTTCAAAAAGCAACCTGGCAGGTGGTATATAGAGTCAATCACAGAAGTCATATTAACAGATCAGGAATATTGAAATGAAATATCCAAAAACAGGCAAAAGCTCCCATGGAATCTCCAAGAGACAACTTGCAAACATCACTTATGATTGACACCAGCTATCCACAGTTTACAGAGTTGTAAGATAGCTTTCTTAGAAATAAATACTCCAAGGAGGTATCACTAGAATCTAAACTACAGCTTTCCACTGATGAATGGTTCCCCCACCTTCTGCCCCCACCCAGATCAAGATGATGCAGAGGAACTATAGGCGTCATTAACCACACACACCCATCAAAAATGCTCTCCTCCCTGCTAGAATCCCTGAAATAATTGTCTGGTTGCCACAATTCCTTTTCTAAGATCTCATTCCTCCCAGCGATCTCACTGCTATTATTACTACTATTATTATTTTTGGTGCTGGAACTGAGGCTTGAACTCAAAGTCTTCTTGAGTTCTCCCTTGTTTTTTTTCTGCTCAATGCTGGTGCTCTACAACTTGAGTCACACCTCCACTTGTTTTTTGCTGATTAATTGGTGACAAGAATCTCAGATCTGACTGGCTTTGAAGGGCGACCTCAGATCTCAGCCCACTGAGTAGAAGGGATGTCAAGCGCGAACCACTGGCTCCCCTACAGCAAGCTCGGTTCTAAAACTACAGCAGCTTTCCAGTCTCATCCATCATTCCTGTTACAGTGTTCTTGTATTTGGAGGGTTACCTGAACATCTTAAAAACACGACAAATGCAGATACTTCTAATTTCTAGGCTGGCTTGCATGGCGAGGGCATACTTCTTTTCTAGTTCCAGGTCAGCTTTAATTCACTGAGAGCCGTCAGAACTCACTCCTAAAACTTGCCTGCAACCTAAGGATAAAAGGGCTGCAAGCGGAGAAACGCCCATTCCCACCGGGCCGCCGCACCCGCAGGAGGGCCCCGACTCCAGGCATCTCCTCTCGGGAGGCCGAGGGTGGAAAACACACAGCCCGGCCAATGTCACCCCAGACTGTGGGGATCCGGACCACTCAGCATTCTGTGCTCGCTCGACTGAGGCCCGCTCCCGCCCCGCGCCGATCACCCAGCCGTGCAACGGCGGCTCCGCAGGGGCGGTGACGGAGGGCTTGGGACAGAGGACTGCAACCGCAGCAGGAGGCCCGACTTCCCTGCCCGCGCCCGCGCCGAGCCCCGCACCGCCTCCCCCTGCCCCGCCCGGGCCCGACCCCGCACCGCCTCCCCTTCCACCCCGCCCCGGGAGATGATGTCTTAGATTAAGACTGGACAGAAGGAATGGTTCAGAGAACTCAAGTGAGGATATGGGAGGGGAAGCTGGAATTTGGGTAAGATTAAAGAGTAACAAGACTTTCTGCTGAAAATGAACTTATCAGTCTCGTACTTTGAACAAGTCCACAAATACACATTGAACTTTAAAACAGTCTGCAGAA